TTTCGTTATAAGACTTTTGATTTCAGTTTTCTATGAAAGTTCAGCCGATGTAAATTGATACATTAAAAGATGACGCTGCAGAAGTAATCTGTGCCAATCTGACGACATTGTCGCATTACAGCAGTATCAAAAAAGGTCAAAGAAATTGAAAATTTTTTCTTGGTGAAATTTTAAGGAACCGATGGTGACAGGTAAGAAATTTTAGTTCAGAATTGACATTGGAACTCAACGCCAAAAAAAAAAAATTATTAAAAAAACAATAAAATCATTAAACATAAAAAAAAGTACTGCTTCTTTTTATACATTTTTTATAGCCGATGCAAAAACAGCGTAAGATTAGTTTCAATTTTTTATTACTTTTCCAATCACAAAAGTTGAACAGATAAGTACAGCTTAAGAAAAAAATTAACGACTTCAGACTAAATACTGTAAAATAAATGTACGGCAGTACGTAAAAGCGCTGAAAACTTAATTGTTCAGCTTATTAAAACGTAGTGTTTCATAGCTTTTAAGGGTCTGAATCAGGCACTGTATTTTTCTTCCTCTAAATGAATTATTGACAAAACTGTGTATCATTTCAAATCTTCTCATCTTATACATTGACAATCAGCATCTCTAAAGGCTTATTTATTTCTCAGTTATAAACGAGCAAATCCGGAAAGAAAAATTTAGGTTTTGTACTAAACATTTGCAATTGAGTCTAGAAAGAAGAAAGGAAGAAATAATCAAAGTGTAAAAAAAAAGAGATTTGTAAATGAAAGGCTCAAACCAAAGTTACTAAGACAGTGACAGTTGCATCAGCAGAATCACATTCTGAACGTCGGAACTTAACCGAGGGTCTTGAAGTAAATAATAAACAAAAAAGAACTGTTAAAGTTTTTGCATTTTTTCGAACGGCGGTATTCCTTAAATTTTTTTCTGCGGTCAAAAGATGGTGAAACAAGAAAATGACAGTTTTTTAAACGTTGCACTTCTCAGAACTATCAATGGGATCAGCGGGAAACAGAGGCGGAGTTATTACAGCTCATCGTAGGGAAATCAGTTCAATTTTGCAACAGATATTACCATTCTTCGTATTTTTTTTTATTTTCATTTCTTCAGCACTGCTTTCATTTCCAATCACTCAGTAATTCCTCCGTCTCTGTCTCTTTTTTTCTCCTAACTTTTCGCTTCTCTTTTCTTTGTTTCGCCATCAATGTACCCAAGCTGTACATGCAACCTTCTTGGAAAACTGGTTAATTAGCTCAATGTCGCCCTTTTCAATCTTCAGCGAGGGAAGGACGAGCATTTCTTCCTATATTTTTCAAGCTATTTCATTTTTCTTCTCACCTGAGCTTGGTTTTTGCTGCTACCAAAAATTCAGCTTCTATGGTGTCTCTGTCCCACTTCCGAATTCGTCTCTAACCGCAACATTTTGACTTCCTTGTATAAAAAAGGAAGAACAAAATTTGGAGGAAAGCAACCCAAAAGGTCACTGATTTTCTGCTGATTTCAAGGTTATCAAAAAAAGGGCGAAAAACCAAAAAAGTTTCTCTTCACTTACTTATCGTGGTTTTTTTTTCTTGCAATACGACCTTACAGCCCTCCAGATGAGGGTAGAAATGTCGGTAAAAATAAGAATTTAGATAGCAGAGCTTCTTTACTAGCACTTTCCCAGAAAATTGACAAAAGGGGAAGAAGAGATCAACAATAATAAATAGGTAGCACTAATATTCACAATTTTGCAATAATTGCATGATCATGAATATAACTAGTAATTCCACAAAAAATTTAATAGCCAATTCTAGTTGCTTTGATGATCCTGAATTGTGCAGTTGTGAAACTGAATAGCTAATTCTTCACAGATGCAAATAAAATAAACCATAAACTTGTAAATAGATTTTCAATAGCTGTACTCATTAACTGTTACTCCTCTTATCGCCACTATGGGGCAACGACATTTTACATTTATCAAAGCTTTAAAATCATGATAATGGAAAATCTATAGTTTTCGTAAATTTTTCGAAATGATTTATGATAGTTTCAGTAACGTTCGAGAAATGAGAGATAATGTATGAGCAATAATCTGTAATTTAAAATTATAACCAAGAAAAAACTGCAGTTACAGTACCTTTCAAATATTTACTGGTAGGGTTAAACATAGAATTTTTAAAATTACTTCTTGAAGAGCTCTGTGATTAAGATCAAGAAATAGATAATTAGCATATTTTGCCTAATTACAGCCAATAAATAAAAACAGTTAAGAATAAAGAACAGACAATTGTCTCTTTGCGTACTATTTATCTACCAAATTTTTGTTAGGTTATTTAGACCAGCAACATTCACCTGAGCAAAAAATTTTCAAACTTTTGAATAATTTAAGGTTTTCTAATTTATTACACTAAAAA